AGCTGGCGGAGGTGGGAGCCGCTGCGGGCCGACCGCGGCGCCGGGCAGCGGAGCGGGGCCCTGGCACAGCCCGAGCACCCCTGACGCCCAGCGGAGCAGCAGGCCGCGCGACAGCGGTCGTCTGTGTCGCGCCGTTACCCACTGAGGCGTTTGGAAAGCACTGGAAATGTTCACCCGTGAATCGCCAGTGTTGATGTCAGGTTATTTCAAAATCGCCCATTCGTGATTTATAAGCAGGGCATAATGCCCGTAAACTCTTCAGTAGTTTGTGCATGGGTATTGCGTGTATCACAGAATGCATCCTGACGTGAAACGTCCTCTTCTGGTGCTGTAGCTTTCTCTTCAAAGTCTGCATACGTATCTGTGGTCCCACAGAAGGAGAAAACAAGTCTGTAAGTCCAAATTCTGGAGCAGGAGGGAGGGGTGAATGCCAGTGTCTGCTGGAGCTAGGAAGCCCTTTTGTGCTGTTTCTCACTGGCAGTGCTCAGTCTGGGGCCACTCTGGTGGTTTTGGTGATTAGTTGGAGGAGCCTCGGCTTTGACTCAACAGCCTACTACAGGCTGGAGGAACTCGCTGGTACAACCCGTGCTTTTGACTTACTAGCTCTTAATTCGCTTCAATACCTCAGGAAGCGAGAACAGCTGAAATGGCCACAGCTTGGTGTGATCTGGACTGTTTATTTGCAAAACATAAGAACTTCCTCATGTTGAGACGTATTTAATTAAGTTGCAAGTGGATGAGAAATTATTTGCTAGAATCTGTATGCCTGAAACAAATCAGATGGAGACCTTGCAGGGTGAATGGTCTGCTGTCAGAAATATGGAAGTATAACATTTTGGTTTTTGTTTGTAAGAGTAATTTCTGAAGACGTTTATAAATTTGTGTGGGACCTTATCCATTTAATCTCACTAGTTTATAGTAAACTTTTCATTAAGAGTGAGTCACCCTTCTCAGCATCTATTATCCAGTGAACAGGGCTTTCAGGTAGTATCTATACAGCATATATTTTTATTATTTCAGTACCAATTACACTGATAATGTTCATAGGTGCTAGAAACATGAAAAGAAGTACTGTGGTGTTCTGTGAAATTAACATTCAGTACAGTTGCCAAATGAGACAAATTATTTAATACCTTCATCACACGGGATTCAGCCTCTTTAAAAAGCCCATCTTTTCAGGGCAGCTGAGAAACAAAGTAGCTAATCTGGCTAGTTTTTTCCACTTAAGAAATCATAGACTCACAGAATGGTTTGGGTTGGAAGGGACCTCAAAGATCATCTCTTTCCACCCCCCTGCCATGGGCAGGGACACCTCCCACTAGACCAGGTTGCTCAAAGCCCCGTCCAACCTGGCCTTGAACACTGCCAGGGAGGGGGCAGCCACAGCTTCTCTGGGCAACCTGTGCCAGTGTCTCACCACCCTCACAGGAAAGAACTTCTTCCTTATAGCTGATCTAAATCTACCTTCTTTCAGTTTAAAACCATTACCCCTCATCTTATCACTGCATTCCCTGCTAAAAAGTCCCTCCCCATCTTTCCTGTAGCCCCCTTTGAGTACTGGAAGGCCACAATAAGGTCTCCCTGGAGCCTTTTCTTCTTTAGGCTGAACAACTCCAACTCTCTCAGTCTGTCCTCACAGGGGAGGTGGCTCCAGCCCCCTGATCATCTTTGTGGCCTCCTCTGGACCCCGCTCAAGCAGGTCCACGTCCTTATGTTGGGGGCCCCAGAGCTGGATGCAGCACTCCAGGTGGGGTCACACCAGAGCAGAGTAGAGGCGGAGAATCTCCACCCTCAACCTTGCTGGCCACAGTTCTCTTGATGCAGCCCAGGATACAGTTGGCTTTCTGGGCTGTGAGTGCACATTGCTGGCTCATAGTTTTCCATCCACTACTACTCCTGAGTCCTTCTCCACAGGGCTGCTCTCAATCCACTCATCACCCAGCCTGTATTTGTGCTTGGGATTGCCCCAACCCATGTGCAGGACCTTGCACTTGGCCTTCTTGAACTTCATGAGGTTCACACGAGCCCACCTCTCCAGCCTGTCCAGGTCCCTCTGGATGGCACATCCCTTCCCTCCAGCGTGTTGACCGCACCACAAAGCCTGGTGTCATTAGCAAAACTGAGGGTGCACTCAGCAATAGCTATCTCACAAGAGTATTTGAATAAGAGTCTGTTGATATCAAACTCTGCAGCAGTCTAATAGTTTTGTTTACCAGGCTTAATCATGTGTAGTTATTTGAGACACTGTGCTGAACCTTGTTAGACTACATGTATCAATGTCTGGGCAAGAAACCTTCCTAATTAAAATAGGATTTAGATACAGTGATAAAAATATTAAAGTCTGTAAAGATTGAAAATAGGTGACAAAGAATATAAGTGATAAGATTTGAAGGGTTATACACTGATAAGCAAAATGTCAAATAGTATAAATGTATTGCCAATATCTTAAAGATAATAGGAAGGAATTTTTAACAGCTCTAGTAAGAAAAAAAACAGATAAGATTCACACCAATTGGTAGATAAAGATAATAAAACTGTACAGCTGTAGCTGTATAGAAAAGGTAGACTTGTTTCTTAAGTTTGGTTTGGGTTTTTTTTGTACTTGAACTCGGCATAAACACCTAGTCATCCCCCATTTGCAGTGCTTCTACTGAGACTACTGGTAATGAACACTGCATTAAATAGTTAGGCATTTTGTATGCACTGGTGCATTTGTTTATTCAGTTTTTATCCGACAAAGAGGAAGGCTGCAAAGGAAGGCTGTTGGAGATTGACAAGTATACATCTGCCTTCTCAAGGGCTACTGAGCTATGGTAACCTTTTAAGTTACAATAAGATAATCACATTAGAAATACACCAGTAAGAAATCTGTGTAGAATAAATAGTTACTGATTTTGCAGATCCCAAAGAGTATGTAATCCCTCTAGTGGGAAGACTGAAGTCAAGCAGCACAGAATGCTAGTACTATTGCCTTTTTTTGAGATAATGCAGTATATTTTCCTAAGACCTAAATAAAATAATTTTGTTTAGAAAATGAAAGTTATATGTGCAGTCTACATTCCATAGCTTTTGCTAGATTCTTTGTAATAGAATGTTAAGAAAGAATTCAAAACGGAGCTACAGTTGCAGCATCGCTGCCTTGATCTGATCACAAGTCACATTCATTGTACGTACCATGCTTCCTCAGAATGAACAAAGGCTAGCATAAACCCAGTACAAGTCACACACTTTCTGCTTGCCTGTCTTCCCTCCCTCTGTCCCACTAAGTCTGGGTACATTTAACCCTGTCATGAGTTCGCATATGATGTGGGAATTCAGCCACCCTGAACTGAAAGCCTTGAGCCGCACCGTGCTCAATCTGATGTACCATCTCATCCGATGTAGTGGCTAGGAGCTGGGTGGCAGTGTGCTGAGGCATCATGCTTTCCTGGCAAGTGGGCATGGAATTTGTGCTTTCCAGAACTGCAATAAAAGAAGCTAGGGAGGAGATAGAATTAAAGTGTGACGTTTGAACTAAATAAAGTGTTTATTTGGCACCTGAGGGGATAAAAATTTGAGAATAAGTGTATTACTTAAGGAGGGTAAAAAAAAAAAATCTCCTTACCCTTTTAATTGCCATAACTTGGGAAGAAGCATAAGTTCAAACATTGGAAAGGTGAATACTGTACAGACTCGAAGCCTTTAATGTAATGCCTCACTTGGTGCCCAGAATGAATGGTGCTCCATTGTTCTGCTGATTTTTCTTCTCTTTGACACCACCCTTTCTTTTTCTGTTTACTGCACATTATTTATGTTCAGTGCTGCAGCCAGTTGTTTTGTACAAGGGTTTTCTGTAATAGCCAAGTTTTATTTTGGAATCATCAAATAATATACTTGCAAGGGTAGGGAATAGGGGGGAGGAATTTCTTTATAGGTAAAGAGAGTAGAGAGATTAAAATTTTCTATAAATTTTGATTTTCCAGTTTGAGCTACCTTAATTTTCTGCAACCCTGGATGACTTCCAGACTTACTTTTCCCTCCAAGCTCTTTTAACAGGTGGTTCAGTGCTGACCAAATTCCTTACTCCACAGTCCTTTCCTTCTTTGTTTCCTCTGTATTCAGCATTGTGGGAATTCTTCATCATTCACTGGGCATCAGCAAGAATATCACTTGAAGGCCTAAGACAAGATAACCTTAATTGTGGATGGTGCAGCTAGTGAGGTTTTGGTATTCAGATTTTTGAGGCTAACAATCAGCTTTTATTCAATGCAGTACAATAGCACAGTTTACTACATCATTTTCATTATAAATACAGCAGTTTGTGCATTCCCCAGGCATGAGTTCTTTACAGAACTGAAGTTACAATGCACTTTTTCAGTAACAACATTAATTTCTAAGATCTTGCAGCTTGCAGCCGGATGGTTCCCAAGATGGTCTTTAGCTGAAGTTATAATTACAGTATAAAGATATCTGAAGATAACAGTGATACATGCCTGTGACTTGGAAAAGACATTTACAACTCTGTTTACTTTGCATGTCACTTTACAACTATCTTTATTCCTGTACCTAATTCAGCACTTTCAGTACTGAAACTTTGGATCATTTAAAACAGATTGATGAACAAGTCATGCAAGCTCCTTTAATCCTTTGGTTGAATTACATGGGATCAGGATCCAGGTGTGATGTTTTCACCAGACTGAAGTTAGAGTATGAAAATGAACTGTGTATAAATGATTGCAGCACAGAACAAGTTCAGCAATAAGGCATTTGATTCCCTCTGTACAGCACTTTTTGCAATCATATGTGTCAGTGTATATGTTCTGATATATATATTATGCTACTTCACCTTCTGATAGGGTGTACTGGCTGGAAGATAAGCATCAGCTTGTAAAACTCCCAGGTGCAGATGGAAAGAAACTGCTGAGAAGTCTGGTTATTCTTAAGCAGGGTTATGGGTATCCAGCTACAAGATATTTCTGGTTCCACTCCCTATTTTCTGAATGAGTTCATTAAAACCTGTGTCTGTCTGATGAAAAAATGGACAAATAGTCCAGGAGGCCAAGTGTGCAGTGCATAATCTGTGGGCTAAAGAAAAAGGTCCTACTTATTTGTTCTCTTGATTAAATTTTCAGTTGCACAGTGGTTTTAATATGTGAGCTGAAGCATGTTGTTTTACAAAATTTCCTTCAGCTAGGCATTTAAAGGATGGCTTGTTCTTAGGTAGCCTAAAACTAATTTCTGCCACTTTGTGGGTGAATCCTTGTCACGTCCCGTTCAGATGAGGGGGACAAGTGACTCAGATTCGCAAATCTCCAATTGGAGCGGACAACAAGTCTCCAAGTTCAAGCATTTATTAACTACCTACAATGTACTAATTGAACACACAGTAAT